TCCCGCCCGCCGGCTAACTTTGGGGCGGCACAGGGCGGGCAGGTGCGGTCACGTGGCCTGCCCGGCCGACTCCGCCCCGCGCCCAGTAGCGCGCGGAGTCCGTGGCGGGGTAGCCCGCGATCACGCCATGCCCACCAACTTCACCGTGGTGCCCGTGGAGGCGCGCGCCGGCGGAGACGGGGCCGGGGCCGAGGACGATGCGGCCGAGCGCCCCGAGGCGCCGGGAATCCCCACGGGCGCGGAGTCCGAGCGCCCCAGCTCGGGTGAGCGTGGTACCTGCGCGGGCAGTGGGGGCGACTCGGGCTTGGGGTGACCCGGAGTGGCGTGCCTGGGGCTGGGAGGACTCGTGGGGTGCCCGACGTTGGGGTGCCCCGCTCCTTCCCACGGAGCTCTGGGTGAGCGGCACGCCTGCTCGCGCCTGGCGCCGGCCCGGAAGCGCCTCCTCTCCTGGGCTTGGACGGGAGGCGCGGAGCTGCGTGGCGCGGTAGGGGCAGCCCGGGCCCCGGTGGCCCCTGGAGCGGCCCAGGCGCTGTCCCGGGCTCACCCGCGCGGCTCCCGGCCCGGGACGCGGAGCAGCCAGTCCCCCCGGGAGCCCCGTCCCGCGCGCCATCCCGGCCGGGACTCCCCGGGGTCACGAGAAGGACGTGGATCTGCGCCCGCGCCCTCTGCAGCTCTTTGTTCCCGAGTCGAGCTCTCTCTGGGGCACTTTCACTTTCTGCGGGGTGGGACGGCCTGGCTCCGCAGCAGGCTCCCTCCACCCGCTCCAGATCTCAGCCCCCTCCCGGAGAGGGCTGCTCCCCTCGGGCCAGGCTTCTTCTCTGATTCCCCCTCCTAGGGCTGCTGAGAAGGGCCTCGATGCCCAGCTCACACACAGCCCCAGGCCCTGCCCCAGGGAGGAGGAGAGAGGCGCGGTCACTCACTGAATAGGTTCTCGGCCGGCCTCGCCTTTTGTTGCTCACTGCCCGGGCAGGAAAGGCCCGGCGCCTGCTCGCCGGTGGGAACCCTGGGACACAAACCGGGGGTACCTACTGTGAAGCGCCCGTTGCTAGGGGCCGGCCACCTGCCTGGGGGGCCCATCCCATGAGCTGAGATGCCGTCCAGGCTCCTGCGTGGATGTCATGCGTGGCTGTAACCATGAGACTGGGCAGAACCCTACGCCAGGCCCTCGCTCTGCAGGTCCCTTCATTTGTCCAGGTGAACTCCGTCCACTGGCCCCCAGGAGCCCAGGTGCCCTCCTGGGTGTTCAGGGCCTGGATAAACTTCTCTTCTCCCCAGACTTCCAGTGTGGTTTGTGTTTCAGTTGGGGCTCGAGCTGTACCCCAACTCAGGGTGCCAGTGTGTCCAGGAGGGTGAACCCTTGCTCAGCAGCCCACCTGCCCCCCGCTTTGTTCCTGGCTCCAGGAATCTCCCTGCCGCACACTCTGGTGGACGCAGAGCCAGCGTGGGGCTCCCGCACGCTCTCTGTGTCCCCTGATGCTCGGAGCTGACCTTGAGGAGTGTGGCAGAGTTGGTGCGGGCCTTGCACACTCACCTCTCCCCAAGGAGGTTTTCACTGCTATACCCTGAGGGCCAGGTGTGCTGCTGTTCTGCACTGTGGTTACATCCTCATCTGTCACAAGAGTTGCTGGGCCACAGCTGGTGGTAGAGATGCCCTCTGGCCAACGTGAAGGGCCCAGCTGGGGAAGGGGCTGTAGGTTTGGCTTCTTGGTGGGAGGTCCCAGAGAGGCTGGGCAGAGCCAGGCCAGAGTCCCCTCCAAAGGCCCTGGAGTGTGGCCCAGAACGGGTCAGAGCTGCCCCATCTTGGTGACTCAAGTGCACCCTGGTGGGTCACTGTCCTATGCCTGGTGTGGCACAAGACAGTGCTGTGGTGCTGTCGGCTCCTGGGCCACCCGGCCTGCTGAGCAGAGGGACTCAGGGTCCAGACTGAGGGCCTGGGCCCGCCAAGGCCGGGGCTGCCCAGCCTGCCTGGGACTGCCTGTACCCCTGGGTGCAAGGAGCAGGGCTGGCTGTCTCATCCTGCCCCTTCTGACCAGAAGGAGGCATGGCTCAAGAGGGTAAAGCTGGCCGGGGCGACGGGCCTGCCCTGTTATCCTGTCCTGTTATCCCGTCCTGTTATCCCGTCTGTGCTCCTGTCTGGGTCTGCTCTAGGCCTTAACCTTGAACCGTCCCAGCTGTGGTGACTCTAGCAGGGCTTGCAGCTGGTGCTTCAGAGCCTGGAGCACAGGGCCTGGGCCTGAGAAGGTGTGTCTGTGGTGGAGCCCCCACCCTGCGCCCTGAGGACCCCACACCCCCCGCCCCTGTTTAGCCCCTCGAGGGCCTCCTGCCTCCACTGTGCTTGGGAAGGACTAGGGGTTCCCACCCTGGGACGGCACCACCCACAGTGACCCACCCTGTCCGCACAGCGCTCATTCTGGGTTTTATTTCAATGTGATACTTCTCTCGGGGTGCAAATGACACCTTAATATTTGGGTCTCCATGAGTAGGAGGGAAGGCCACCTGAGTGAGGTGCCTCTCCCGAGGTACCTCTCCTGGTCAGCTGCCCAGCTGTGTGTTGGCCAGGCGCAGTGGGGCTGGGGGAGGTCCCTGGGACCTCTGGTGCCCGCAGACCCTCACGGGGGCGGCGCTGCCTGGGTTTGGTTGTAGTTCCTCTTTTGGGATTCCTTTTCCATGATTTGTGCTCT